CGGGTAGGTAGGGGGCCGGTGCCACCCTCGTTATCAAAAAAAAAAAAAAAAATAATAAAAAACTAAATAACTGCCAATTTTTGTATAATTTTCGTTGATTTCCGGATCGTATTGAAAACATAGGGAAAAGTACGGCTAATAAACCTCCGTTCAGAATTGTTTTTCGTTTTCTTTTTTAAATCAATACTTATATTCGAATATAATATACACTACGAAACGTGTACCAATGTAATCTTTCGGACTGTCGGATAAATGAAAAAAAAAAAAAAACAAATAAACATACCACCTTTGAAATACAACAGTGATTAACATAAAACTATTGCAAGCGTAATACGTAATTCATTTATTAACAACAATTAGTAACATGTCGGTATTTCGACTGGCTCGAAATAAATTGAAATACCGAGTTTTAAGGGTAGAGCAGAAATTATACGGCGCGCCCATATTTACACTGTGTATAATAAATAATAATGCATAGGTCCCCTGAGAATATTATTATTGCTTTTACGTTTACCCGTTACCCGTTCAAACACATTGAAGTTTAGCCCGAGTGCGTTTCCCTTCAACTGCTCGGTTTCTCGTATTTCTCAGCAGTTTCGTCTCCTTTCTCCTCTCGAAACCCTCTTATTGTACACTCCCCCGGTCCGTTCTATGCTTGAATATGGTTTTGTCCTCTAACACCCTTCTTCTGCCGGCGGTAATACTGACGAGAGTGTCTAGAGATAAGATCGGGACACCGTCTCATTTGCGTATTAATTGTACGGTCGCCTATAGGGATAATCTCAGTTCCCGCTTTTACCACATTTTTCAGGAGGCGTCTCAAATCGAAGTTTATCGAGGTTAAGTTCAAATGTCTAAAGCTGTCAATGATGTCGAAAATGTACGTTTTTTTTTTTTTTTTTGTAAATTCAATGATCTTTTATATATTAAGTTTGTAAATAAATAACAATATTACTAATAGTAATATTGTTATTTATTTGAATTAATTATGTTTATGATTCGTTAACTTAACCCCGAAACGACCATCACGGTATTGAAACAGCGGGTGTAATAGGTACTAAAACTAAGTTTGTTTTAGTACCGCTTTGGGGGAATTAGTTTAACTAACTCTCTAAGCGGCCACACGTGATAGCCCAGTGTCTCAATCTTATTATCTTCTAAAACCGTGGTCCACAGGAACTTAGGACTTATTGACTTCAAAATCAATATTGCTCATTTATTTCCCGCGGTACTTGTCTTATACTCTGTGACCCTCTGTTCACCACACACATTCCGTTAACCTTCTATTTTCGTTCAATCTTCTTTCTTGATTATCCTAATTCACCGCAGACACTGATTTCTTTTAACCCTTTTTCGTCCACCTTGTCTATTCTACACCTCCTTTATTCCTCTCACACTCATCCACTACAATAAGTTTACTCTATAAACCTTCATATTTTCATGCTTGCCAACATTGGTACATATTATGCCAAAAGTTTTTTAAACTGTACCATCTTTTTGCAGTATACTACATTATTCTACGTCTTATTACTTTTATTGTTATTATTATTATATTTAAGAACAATATAGATGTTTTATTGTAGACCCGTACGAATAAAATAATTATGGATACATATTTAAGTTGCACAAAAACGATTCGAGACTGTTCGAGTTTTGTGAATCTAAATTTTAAATAAACCATTTAGAGGCGAATTTAATAATTCGTGTTGATTCCAATTTCTGAAAAAAAAAAATAATAAAATAAAATACATATTTATTTATCTGTACACTGTATAATATACAGCGCTAAATATATTTATGCTAAAATGTACTACAAAAATGTAATAATATGATAATTTCATTATCATTTATATACTAATTGACAGCTAATTTTTAAACATTTTCAAACATCGTACAGCGTACACCCGTTAATAAGTATTTTATTATTATTGTTATCAGTATTATATTTTTTCATCGATTATATTAAACATTCTTAAATATGATGAGTTCTTGAATATTTCATGTACACATAAACGTATCATATATGTGTAGGTACAGTTTGAAATATAGTATTTTGCCGTCAGGAGGCAACAGTTATCGCTATAGTATTATCAATTTACAAACAGTATTATCAATAATTATTATGGTATAATAATAATTAATAATTATTATTAATCGATGATTCTACTTAAAAGGAACTGATTTTGTAATAAAACGCGATAAACGGCACTCCAACAAAATATAGGTAGGTGCCTATACACATAATACAGAGATATACAACAATAATCAAATAGCAATTTGTATTTAAATGTACAGCTAAACATAAGATAATCGTTATTAATAATAATCATCAAGTACACACTCGAAAAGAAAAAAAAAAAAAAATGTAAAACACATGTATTACTTTACACGTTTAACGAATGAAAAAAAATAAATCAAAGCTCAACGATTAATTCGTAATACATTATTATTTGCGTTTAATAACGTAACATAATTAGTTATTACCTAATAAAAATAGAAATTATTACGTTGAATGATTCGAGTGCTGGGCGACGAGCCAACGATTATTAATTTTTTATGTATACACGGTATGTGTATTTTTCGTATTTTCAAACACTTTTTCGGTACGTGATACATTTAAGTATTTAAAATGCTCTTGGAATATTTTGAAATATTTACATCATTCAATATCAGTACAATGGCGTTAGAAAAATGTAAAAACTGATACGTGCAGTAAAGCCCCGTCACTGAGCCGAATTTCGAGCCAGCCGACTCGTTGCCGTTACGATATTTCATTTTTTTAGTATATCTGCATTTATTTACGATTCGCATTCACGAGATGCCCATTGAGCACGTCTCCTCACCCCTGCCCCGTAACATGGCCCGCAGCATTCCTAGCATTGGGAAAAGTAGTTCTAGATATTTTTTTGCTGTCCGGCAAACGGTCGGCGGGTGAGGTGAGGGAAGGACTGGGGTTCTAACAACAGCGGGTATTGTGATTTCGCTCGGACATAACAAAACCACGAGGCCCTGAAAATTCGGCAACAAACTCAGCCCGTTAATAATATAAAACATTCTAACGGGTAAAACGTAATTCGATACATTACGCATGGCGTTGCTCGGATTTCAAGTGTATTCAATCGAACTGCTAAGTGAACGAATCTCAAGCATAACCTAAACCCATACGCGAATTAAAACGCGTAAAACCGCCTTACCGAATTACACTAAATATCACGTGCAGTCGCATTGACTATCGGTTTCTGTACGGTTTCGAACGTAAACGTCTGTTTATTTAGATTGTAACAATTTTAATACCGGTACCGTTTTGCATATCTCACATCAATAACGTTCTGCTGTGTCTGTCCGTTTTCTCTTTCGTTTCCATCTGCGAGAAATACCCGCAGTGACAAATAAACTGCTCGATCGGAAACGCTACGTTCTCGTCGTCGAACGCCTGCGTACGCGCGCCGTTACGCCGTTCAATATCCCATCTTACGTCTCCCGTCGCCGGCGCAGGTATGAATAACGTTTACGTTTTCACGGTGTGGAAACGGCACGGGATTTTTTTTCATTTTTTCGAACCGAACGCACGCCGTCGCATATCGGCCACGGAATATTGCGAAATCGCCGTTATCAAACCGATAGTATCGCAGCGTACGGACGATATAACTCCGTCTTCGCGCAATCAAAGCCCATTCGACCGCGCGCTGCTGTACGGCTCGCCGTAACCACTACGCGCTGCAGCAGGCTCCCGGAAATCTCCGTACTTCCACTGCCCCGTCACCCATTGTCTGTGCGATATGAACGAGACGCATCGCTTGCTTGTATTCCGTCTTCGTTATGCGGCGGACGTTACGCACGCGTACAGTTTCATTTCGTAACTGAAAACGATAATAGCAAGACGGGTGGGCATTATTCGTGCGTATGCGTGCGATTTCCCAGAAACGGAATTATCGTCGCCGGCCGCAACGCGATCCGACGTTTTAGAAATTGTTTAACTGACATCGTAAGCGGTGCAAGTAAAATATTTTAATTTCGATTTGGAACGGATTGTCCGTCGCCCACCAATCCTCTCTAGGCGTTGACGTTTTCGATTTTTGCGAACAAACATTTTTTAAATCGCGAGCGCGTCGAGAATTATTCTCAAAATCACTATGATGTTGAATACGTGATTTGTTCACGTGGCTGGTGAAATGTAACACCGCGTATTCGGCGTCTGTTAACGACTCTTCTAGAATCACAGAATCGAGCTCGAAATCAAAAAAATCGACGCGAGAGCGTATTTTTCGAGGAATGTTGAATCTAGTTGGTGAATTGAGGAAGTCGTTTTTCGATTTTTCTCGGAATTTTCTAAACAGTTCGGGAAATCCGTAGGAAAAACTGAATAGTTTACGGCACGAACGGTTTTTTAATTTCCGATTTTGTTTCTATTGTCCGGATAAAAAAAATCGTAGAGACTTGAAATCTGTACAGAACACTTAATACCTATATTAGCATTTTCTAGACGTTAACATTATCAAAACGTTTTTGAGTTATTTGACATTTTCACGGTTTTTTTTTTTTATATTTATGTACAATGTGTCCCGTTTTAAATGTACCACTAAATATCTCGGCCCGATAATCTCGGATTGAAATGCGATTTGCTGCAATAGCTAAGGGGTACTGAAGTACACGTTTAAGGACAAATTTCGAATTTTTAACTCTTGTAGTACGCGCATGCGTAATACAAATTTTTTTCTTTTAAATTGCAACACCTTTATTTTCGTCACCGTATATGGATAGATTATTTTATTCCAAGTAATTTTGATCAATTGACCATAGTTCTAGACCTAAAATCGAATGAGTTACAGCTTTTTGAAATTTTAAAATAGTTAAATTTTTTTCGATTTTACCAAAAAAACATTACGCGCTTGAATTGAGTGATTTTTTCATAGATTTTAATTAAGAATGTGAAGTAGGTAATTAAAATGAAAATTACTCCGTTACATTGTTTTGACTTGTGTTTATTTTTTTTTATCTAATAAAATGTTCGAAATTTGCTCCGTTTTTTTCTAAACGCAATTCCAGTCGACGACTCACTTCTCCATAGGTTGCTGCCGAAATTCGTTCTTTTGTTAATTGTCTGCACGCCGCCGTTATTTTATTTTTTAAATCCCGTAAGTTTGCTGGTGGTTCTGCACAAACAACAGTCTTCGAATGACCCCATGAAAAAAAGTGTAATGGTGTTAGATCAGGTGACCGCGGGGGCCGTTCCGCCGGCCCGTGAGTTCCCCATCCACCGATTTCCAAACATTTCGTTTGACTGTCGTCTTACAACAAGGAGCGTTACGAGCGGGTGCTCCGTCCTGTTGAAAAAACAAGTTTCGACGCAGCGATAAAGGGACACATCTTCCAACATCGCCGGCGGCAAAGTTAAGAAATCCGAATAACGTCTCCCATTAAGAGTACCGTCGTAAAAACGCGGACCTATCAAATTTCCTCCTAATAATCCGCACCGCGCATTTGTGCCCCGTACTGTTTGACGGTTTGTATCGACCGCCCCCCAATGCGGGATTTCCGTTTGACCAATAACGGTTATTATGCTTATTTAAAACGCCATTATCGGTAAACTCCGATCCATCGGTCCGCAAAACGTAATTTAAAAACAATGTCCGTCGTTATTTGTACGTGCTGTCATCCGCGCAACAAATGTCAATCCACGTTCGTCATCACCTCCGCGTAAACGCTGAACTGGATCGGCCCCATAAGGACGTAACTTGTATTTTTTTTTTGAATATTTCGCGTACCTTTGTTTTTGAAAAGCCGAATTCTCTAGCGACGTGTCTTAAAGACGAGCGAGGACGTTAATCGAACGTCGTGCGCAATTACTTCGTTTTCCCGACCGTCGTCATATTCGGTTCCATATTGCGTAGTGGTCGTCTCTGTGAAATCTCTTATCGGAAAAGTCCCGTAAGTTCGTGAATTATTAACCGATGTTAAAAAAAAAAAATTACGCGGTGGACCACGTCTTTCGGGATATCGATTTGCATAAACCCTTGCAGTCTCCCGACAACGTTTATTACACTAGCCGTGAATTAAAATCGTGTCGACTTTTTCACTGTCGTTTAACATTTTAAAGAAGAAAAAACGAAAAATCTCTCAAAGTGTCGTGTTGAAAGTTATTAGTGCCGTCGATGAACGTACAATACTGAGTGAACGTGCATTAGTTCGTTCGTTCGATAATCAAACAATATCGACAATAATTATCGGAGTACTAAGAATTTAAATTAGAAATAATCTACTATTATCAGAGTACTAATAATAAAACTGGAAATAATTCAATAACTTTTATCGCACAACAATAACGCGAATTACGTCATTGTCGATTTAGTTGGTAAATTAATTAAATTTAAATTAGCCATACATTTTTTTTTTTAGGTAATTTTGTATTAAATTATTTAAATTTAAATTTCATTTTAGTTTATAAATGATCTGCTTTTGTATCAAATTCAAGCGCGTAATGTTTTTTTGGCAAAATCGAAACAAAATTTAATTATTTTAAAATTTCAAACAGCCGTGACTCATTCGATTTCAGGTCTAGAACTACGGTCAACTGATCAAAATTACTTAGAACAAAATAATCTATCCATGTACGGTGACGAAAATAAAGGTGTTGCGATTTAGAAAAAAAAAAAATTTGTATTGCGCATGCGCGTACTACAAGAGTTAAAAATTCGAAATTTGTCCTTAAACGCGTACTTCAGTACCCCTTAGCTATTGCAGCAAACCGCATTTCAATCCGGGATTATCGGGCCGAGATATTTAGTGGTACATTTAAAACGGGACACGCGGTATATGTATACGTATATATTTGGTTTCGTGTAGAATAAATCTGTTTTGGCCGGGCAAAATGATTGAAAATTCAACACGAGATTTACCTAAAGCTGTGTTCGGCGGTAAAACGAAAATGAGCGCTGTGCACCGAATTTTCGTAAGGTATTACAAGTCAAAATTTTAACGAAAATCGTAAAAATCACGATAACTCGAAACACGTTGAACCAAACAAAGTATTTGTTTTTGTACTGTATACCTATTTGTTTATCACCAAGTTTAACATGACGGCAACGTGACGTCATAATTATAAATAAGAACCAAAAACCCCGACGCTGATTACTTTTCACCGTTTCCGCTAGAACTATGATCTTTGTTCACCGTGTCGTAGTGTTAACTCTATACTCTGTAGCTCAGGGCCGTGAACTTTATCCACCAAAATCGACTCGTACGTCAATAACCGTTTTGGAACCAACGACACGCGATGTTAACATTGTTATCATATTGGCTATTACGAACCGTTTTTCTCCGCGGAGAGGTCGTGTTAGCGGGTATTCCGGATTCTGAGCGCAGGGAGAACGTATTGATTTTGTTACAAAGTACTGTTCATTTGCATCCGTAAACGAACTGCGTATCCCTCAAAAATAGGGACTTTCTTCTAGTTTTTTTTTTTTTTTATCCGGTCGGTGCGTCCAGGCGAATAGTTTCGATTTTCCTTACAGTTCTCGGGGCATTCCCAGTCCTATAACTATTGTTTTTATTTATACGTCGTCCCGCGGGTCGCCGTCGTAACGTTTATCCCGGTGTACGACGACGACCGGTGCCGTGTATCCGAAAAAATTGGCGTTTCTCGAATAATTTTACGCGACCTACCTCTCGTGATGTCGTTGACATTACCCACCGCGACATATTCGTACGCACGTTTCTACAGCCCGGAGGCGACGGTACGCTGTACACGAATAGACGTACACACGGAAATAATCGAAAACTCGTACCCCGTGTAATATTAACTGTTTCGTGACGCGGCGTCCGCTACGTCCGGGGCGCTGGGCGGTTATAGGTAAAAAAAAAAAAAAACGTCTGGCCGGTATACCGTGGATATCGTTAGGACAACGAGAGCCGGCCCGAATCGATAGGACCGGCGTTTTACTCGGGCATTTAATGCGATTCAATGCACGGTGAACATTTAACAATTAAAACGGCGCGATTTTAAAACGCGAGCGCGCTTCGCCTACGCACCGGGCGCGTTTACTAAAGATAAAAAGCGCGCCGATACAATCGTGATACACTAGTCTCGTCGTTGTTACTGTGCGTCGTGCACATGTGCACATGTACACCGCGTTGTCGTTCCGTTTGATGTCGCATTATTTAAACGGTACAGAGCGGGTGTTGCGTTCGCACTATACGCGGAACATGGACAAAAACGAAAAAAAAAAAAAAGGCGAAACGGCGACACTAGGGCCTGTCCGCTCGATCGGAAAATACCAGACGGTGGTTCTTCGTTCGACACCTCAAGAGTAAACTCTTCACGGCGTTACGGTGATATCCGTAATCGCTATAAGGTTTCACTCTCGATTAGATCCGACGCGGTGTAGCGTTTGTACGGTTTATGCAATTTCGTTTTCGCATCGTGCATGTAACGAGGGCAGTGCGACAAAACAAAGGGACAAGTATAATTGAAAACTTTTCGAAACGAATTTCAGCGAAATTTAATTAATATCGTACAGTAGAATAATAATATGTATATTTTTTTTATTATTGATTTTCGGTTCATTTTTTGTTTTTTTCATTTTTTTTCCATTTTGTCTTTTCCATTGTGCCTGTAAGACCGAAATCCAGACGGTTATTGTACCAACCTATTATAATGATACCGCGGCTATTATTATTATACCCGTTGAAATTGTTTTTCAGTGTATCGGTCTCGTTTACATTTATTAACAGGTATTCAATTTTGTTTACCTCCGGACATTTGTCTCTCCCCCCCCACTTCCCCGACCGGTACGTGTCGGCGTAACACCGTCCGCGATACGCGGCGTTTACAGCACGCGGGGCCCGGTGCTCGGATCGCCTCCGTCCGTCCGTCCCCCCCCCCGTCGGTTTTCTCGAGGGGAACCGAATTATTCGCTTTAACGTGTTGCCGTACGACGGGCACGCGAAACGACGACGACGACGACGACGACGACGACGACGACGACGACGATGACGAAGACGGCGGCGGCGGCGCGGCGGCGGCGGCGGCGGCGGCACATCACTAGCGCGGCGCGCGGCGCACGAAGGCCAGGTAACGCGCGCATAGGTGCCGGTTATCCCCTTTGGCCGTCCTGCGCACGCCGCGCGCCGGCCGAAACCGATTCAGTACGCCATAACCCGTCCGGCCGTTCTCGTGGTTCGCTCGCGCGCGCGCGCCCGCACAATTGAAAAAAAAACACGCCTCGTGCAGTTCTCCGCGCGCGCTCGTCCGTCCGTCCGTCCGTCCGTCCGTCCCGTCCCGTCGCCGCGACGCGTATTCGGCGAAAGAAAAAATACAAAACCGAAAAACAAAAAAAAAAAAAAAACGAAAACCGTACCGTTACCGTTTTGTTGTCGTTGATCGTTCCGGGTGGAACCGTGCGGCGATCGACGTTCGAGAGCGCGCAAAACGCACGGCGGCAACGGTCGCGTATCGATTGTACAAATCGATAATATTTCAATCGACGGCCGTCCGCTCCCCTCGCCCCTACCCCTCGTGCGCCCGCCGTGTACCCGTCGTATCCGGTTGCCCGTCGAACTGAGCAAGTCGAAACGAAATAGAGACGGAAAAATAATAAAAAAAAAAAAATTCGAAAAATTGTTTTTTTCCCTCGGCATACGGCCGCCGAGTGGAAATTCGCGCGAGTGCGGTTCGCGTTCGTCCGCGGCGATTAAACGGAACGACATCAAATTGTTTTTTTTTTTTTTTTTTTTTTTTTTTTT